AAAATTTTTTTTTTTTTTTTTTTTGGTGCAACTTATAATTCTATTAATTCTTTCTCTTTGCTATTTTAATCTTAGTCATCACAGCTTCTTTTGTAGATACATTCAGGATAAAGCATCTATGTTGAAATATTTTCTCCCTGCCCGATAGATAATGGAGTAATCATAAGGTTGGAGTCTTAATATCCAACGAGCTCTTTTTCCTTTTGGCTCACTGGTATATAGCCATTTAAGAGTAGTGTGTTCCATAATTAGTATAAAATGCTTAGCACCAAGATAATAATAGAAGTGTTCTACAGCCCAGATAACAGCTAAACACTCCACTTCTAGGGCTGAATAATTTTGTTTTGCTTTCGATAAGCCTTGACTAGAATAGGCTACCACATATTCTTTGTGGTCCTTATCTTTTTGGACCAGGATGGCTCCTAACCCTATACCGGATGCATTAGTATGTAAGTAAAATATTTTTTTAAAATCTGGGTATCTCAAAATAGGTACTATCATCAAGTGCTTTTTTAATATTTCAAAGGCAATTTGCTGCTTTTCTTCCTATTTGTAGAGAACATCTTTCTCTAATAATTTATAGAGTAGTCAGGCTATCGTAGCAAATCCTTTGATAAATCGGCAATAATAGGATACTAAAATCCCCTCAATTGGCAAATATTTTCAGGTACTAGAAATTTCTTTACTTTATCTACTTTTGACTTGTCGGGTCTCACCCCCTTCTTATTAATTACATGACCCAAGTAATTAATCTCAGATTTAAAAAATGTACATTTATCTGGATTTAATTTTAATTCTGTTTTTTTTAATTTATCAAAAATTATTTTTAAATGTTTTAAATATTCTTCTAATGAATTTGAATAAATATTTATATCATCTAGGTAGACTACAGCAAAATTTCTAATACAATCACCAAGAACTTGATCCATCAACCTTTGGAAAGTCTTCGGTGTATTATAAAGACCAAACGGCATTACTTTAAAGGCATAAGTACCGTATTTTGTTATAAATGTTGTCTTTTCTATATCTTTTTCGCTAACTCTAACTTGCCAATATACACTTATTAGGTCTAAGGTGAAGAACCATTGAGCCTTCTCAAAAGTATCAAGAAGATCATTAATAAGCAAAAGTGGATAAGTATCCTTTTTAGTTACTGAATTAAGTTTTTAGTAATCTATACAGAATCATAGTTTACTATTTTTCTTCAGTACTATGACTACCAGAGAAGCCCAGGGACTGTTTATTTCTATAATTAGTCCTTGTTCTTTTAATTTCTTAATTTCTTTTCTTATAAACTTGTTTTCTTTATAGGCGGCCCGATAATAGCCTTATTTAATCAGAGTGGTATTACCTGTATTAATACTATAGGTGGTAATATTAGTATGTTCTAAATTTTCAATACTTTGAGCAAATAAGTCTTCTTCTTTAAGTAAAAATTCTTTAGCTTTAAATTGTTCTTGTGACATAATTTCTCCGTTATTAATCATTTCTTCTATTATTTTTTTAATAGATTTTTCTTTTCTTTTTCCTTTTCATCTTTCTTTGTGGGTACCTCTTCTATATTAGTGAGGTATAGTGCTGGATTTTCCCTACTATATAAGAGTCAACTTCCAAACTTTTCTTCTGCATTGTTATCGAATTCTTTGTCTTTATAGTCAAATTCATCAAAAGAATCAGCACCGTTACTATAACTGTCTTTGTCTGGTGGATCAAGATCTTTAAATCTGGTATTTGAAATTGGGACTTCTGTAAATTTACCAGCATACTGTAAGTATAATTTTTGTTTATCAAAATATATTCTAGCTTTTGTCTTTTAGAACCAATCAGTTACTAATAACAATGTATCGCCTTCAGCTTCTATGACATGCAGGGTAGTGGGGATTACTATGTTATTTAATATAATTTTTATATCCTTTACTTTTCTTAATATCTTAGCTCTTGCTACATAGCCATTATGATTATGGTAGTAAAATTATCATCCACTTTTAATCCTAATTTATATAATAGTTGTGTTGTGATAATGCTTACTGCAGCACCCGAATCTAGTACAGCTAGTACTGGATTATTTTGTATTCAGATATAACATCTAACTGCAGTAGTACGTTGAGGTTCTTTGAGAAAATTAAGGTTCTTTAGAATTGGGGTTGTTTCAAGTTTTTTTTGCCAAATTTCTTCTTTGATTTGGATATTGGAGTATCTGGCCCACCGTAGCATTAGTAGGTAAGGACAAAATGTCATCTGCTATGTTATAGGGTTTTAATGAGTCTATTTTTGAAGGTTCATGCCTTCCTTTAGGTTTAGAGATGGGAGATGGGTCAGTTATATTGGGTGTGGTCATCATCTACTATTTGTTGGTTTTTTGGCAATTCTGGTTAATTTTTAATTGTCTTTCATAATCTTTCTTCTCACTTTGGATTCACCAGACATTTTTCTATTTTCTTTGGGGTAGGTTCATTTTTAACTATATATACTTCTCTACTATTTTCAGTTTCTAATTTACAAAAACTAATAGTTTTTGTTTAACTACTATTGTTCTTCTCTTTTCTTTGATATGAATAGTTCACTTTTTCGGATATACATCTTCTAGCTACATGACCTACTTCCCTACATTTACCACATTTAAGTCCTTCATTTCTTTCCTATCTGTGTTTGTTTTGAGGTCATCCTCTATAGAAATTATCTCTTGGATGATAACTCCTTGTATCTCTTAATCGTGCACTTAGGGTAGCATAATTTAGTGCTAACTCCTCAATCCTTTTCTTCATCTCATTCTATTTATTTCCTATGTTATGACTTATACTATTACTTCTGACTGTAGGCTCACTATAATATTCTCCAGCTTCTACACTTTGAGCTGTGGCAATAGCTTCATTTAAATTTTTTGGCACTGCAACAGAAACAAACATTAAATTTCTTCCTTTTAATCCTTTAAGAAACATTCTTACAATATGAATATTGGGTAAGCTATAACCGAGATTAACCTAACTTAATAATCTTTTAAATTTGTTGGCATAGGTATCTAACTTCTCTAACTCTTGTTGTTTTAAAGCACCTAGTTCAATGGCCCAGCGATGTTGATGTTCCTCTGGGGCGAATTGTTGGATGAACCAATAATAAAAGCTTTTACTTTTCTTTTCTTCATTTTCGTCTTTAGTCTTTCACTCATTTATCTCTTTTTCATTTTCAGAATACCAATCGGCAGCTATACCTTTTAGATAGCCCGAAGCAATATGGAAATGATGATCTCTGGTCCAATTATTAGCTTTAGTGGCTCATTCAAATTCAGCAAACCACTTGAATAGGTCTTCATCGTCCATTCTGTAAAAGCATTTTACCTTTATGAAATTATTTACAGACTTATTTTCATCTTTTGGCTCATCATTTGCATAAATCTTTCGAATTGATCATTATTCATTTCAAAGTTAGATTTTTTTTTAGGTTATACAGTTTAAGAAGTTCAAAAATCTCATAGTCACCACCAAATGTTATGTGGTGAATCGTAGGGTTTTATTAATTTATATACAAAAAGATATAATTTAGTGATAAGGCAACTCGCCAGAGGCGTGACATTGGTGATTTGATAATAATTTGTTTTATTAAAAGAGATTATCAGGGTAAGTTATTTAATGTACTATGAATGAATTGTTGGAATCCCGAGGGTGTCCTTTAACTAACGCGAATTCCCAACTCTTTTATGGATTATTTTATCCTAACAAACTCAAGGGCTTAGGGATAATTCATCATTAAAGAATCAGGGCGAAGCTATTATACATCAAGGGGCTTATAACAAATATAATAATAATTCCTTCCACCGAAGTCTTCTCTTTGTCTATCTTCAAGATCTGCTTGCTTGATCTTTGTTTGTTCTTTTCAGAATTCTTCTTCGGATTTCACGTAGGTTATCCTTTCTATTCTTTGGCAGGTAAGCCTCATATAACCGTTGATCCAGAATTCCAATATTATATCCGGTTTAGTCATGAGATTACTGCGCCTAATTTGACAATCCTTCTTTGCCCGTGACATCATTAATTTGTTTTTAACTTCGTCCATGTCTTCTGAATTATTTAGTTTATCAAGAGTCGTTTTATAATCTCTTCTGCGTAATCTGAAACCTTTATTTTATTTTATAAAGCCAATATCATCATTTATAATTTCGTTTACATAATCCGAATTTTTACTTCATTAATTTGCTTTTAATTTCGTCTACGTCCTCTGAATCATTTATTTTATCACTAATTAATTTTGTCTACGTTATATGAACCTTACGTTTTATTATGTCAACAAACAATTTCACGATTTTTAATTTCGTATACACTATATGAATCTTTTATTTTGTCAAGCCATATTTTTGATTTATACGTTTTATAACTTCGTTTACGTAAAAATTGGAATTAATTGACTCGTTGTGACTGCACCACTAATCAGTTAATTGAGTTCAAAAAATTACAATTAATTGCCCCCATAATCGATTAAATCCCATAATTATTATTCACATTATTCACATTATTGACGAGATTTCCATTATAGCAATTTTTAACATCAGTCACACCAAATAAATTATGTTTAGATACATAAGTAAATTACTGTACTTATGACTGATAAAATAAAACCTTTCAGTTCAGTGATGTCAGAAGTCAGTATAAAATTTTTCGTTGCCTTCCTTGTGACACTGTTTATTGTTCCAAATTGGTAAAAATTTTTCGATCGATTGATTAGTTACTAATTGTAATTGCAACTGCATTTTCATTGTATTACGTACCGATATTAGTGCGTACGTACATGTTTTATGATTTATTAATATTTTAGTGGCGGTACTTTTTGCTGTTCTCAATGGGGTGCTTGTGGTGATACACCTGGTATGTTTCCCAATTATTATTTTTGTCTATTATATATATCTATTTTTTATTTTTTTAGTTACCATAATTGCTAAATTCTCAAATAATTCCCTTAACAGAATTTTGTGATCCGGATCAAGGATGCCAAGAAGGATATGGTTACTGCGGCCTTCCAGATGATAATACTGATAATGATCCACAAGTTGTCTACACTTGCCACAATATGAATACTATAGCGTTAACTTTTGATGATGGTCCACGTCCTGTACGCATCTTACATTTTAAAACCTAAAAAGCTTTAAAATTCGTGTACTCAAATTTTTTTTTTTTTTAGTGGACGAATGACTTACTCGATACGTTAGATGAAGCTAATATAAAAGCCACATTCTTTATCAATGGCCACAACGAAGATGTGTATTGTATCTATGATTACGCAGAAATTATACAACGTG